CCCAGCACTTTGGGAGGCCAAGGTGGGTGAATCACTTGAGGTCAGGAGTTTGAGACCAGCCTAGGCAACACAGTGAAACCCCATCACTACTAAAAACACAAAATTAGCCAGGCATGGTGATGCATGCCTGTAGTCCCAGCGACTTGGGAGGCTGAGGCAGGAGAATCACTTGAATATGGGAGGTGGAGGTTGCAGTGAGCTAAGATCACACTATTGCACTCCGGCCTGGGAGTGTAAGACTGAAACTCCAAATTCAAGAAAAAAACGACAACTCAATAAAGTCCACCAATCAGAGGACAGAATTGTTCAATGTTAATTTCCTGCTTGGGTAGGTGCATGCAGTTCAGTAAGAGATTGTGCCTGTCTTCTGGAAATACAAACTAAAGTATTGAGTATGTCACTTACTCTTATTTTATCTTTAAATTTTCTCTCTCTCTCTCTTTTTTTTTTTTTAAGTAGAGGTAGGGTCTCAGTATGCTGGCCAGGCTGGTGTCCTGGCCTCAAGTGATCCTCCCACCTTGGGCTCCCAAAGTACTGGGATTAAACCACTGTTCCCAGGTCCTGTCACTTACTCTTAAATTGTTCCAGAAAAAATAATTAGAGAGAATAAAACTGATATGGTAAAATGTTAACATTTAGGAAATCCGGAAAGCTAAAAATAATTTTTTTATTTTTTTGAGATAGGGTCTTGTTCTGTCGCCCAGGCTGGAGTACAGTGGCGCGATCCCAGCTCACTGCAACCTCCACCTCCTGGGCTCAAACGATCCTCTCATCTCAGCCTCCTGACTAATTGGGACTATAGCCACACACCACCACACTTGGCTAATTTTTTGTAGAGATAGGGTTTTGCCATGTTGCCCAGGCTGGTCTCAAACTCCTGGGCTCAAGCAATCGCCTGCCTTGGCCTCCCAAAGTGCTGGCACTAGTGGCGTGAGCCACCGTGCCCGGCCTAAAAATAAATTATTGTTGAAATTATATCTCAGTTTTTTAAAATTGTCATAGCCAAAAGACAATACAGACTCACAAAATGAGTCCTGGATTGGGTCAGAAGTAGATTCTAACCCTGAGCCTCTCCGTTACTAGCTATGTAGCCCTGTGCCATCACATCCACTATGCGGGTAATCACCCTACCCTTCCATTCTGTTGGGTTACTTTTCTTCTTTTTTTTTTTTTTT